TCCATACAAGGTGATTGACAGAATCTCCGATAAACTCTACAAAATACTAGTAGAAGGTGAAGAAAAAAACGTCTCAATCGAAAGACTAAAGCCTTGCTACATTAACAAGACTGATCTCGACAACGTCGAAGACCAACAATTAGTACCTGAGAAGATGAAACCATATCATTGGGGATCTTCAATGGATATACCAAAGAAAACGTACAAACGCACCGTGACTTTTAAGCTTCCCGCGCAAAGTCACTCGGGGGGGAGTAGTTGTAGCGGACGCGTATCTACAGTCACGCCTCTACAGACCGCTCATACAACTACACTCAAATGATAAAACAATCCCACAACTCATAAAACAAAAGAGAACAATAGTTAAAGGCATTGTACACGCTTCACAACACACAACGCATTGCATTCACCACGTGTTCCAAAAACTCATTTCAACTACTTGTTATACTTATTTAATACAGTTTTATTAATAAAGTTTTCTATATACGTTAACCATTTTTGTATATCTTTAACTCGTGGTATTAATAAGAAGAGATACCACAACGTCTCGCCGGTCACCCCATCTATCGGCATACAGCTAGCGACRATCGTATACCCCCTCCAACGATTTACAGCATCAGGACTGTACCCGTGTGATCGAGAATCCAACGCACAGCAATACATTCGTACAAAAGAGATTTTTATATTTACCACAAATTGATTTGAGTAGTTTTCGCGGAATAGAATAGACGATACCGATCCATAATGACATCGCAAAAACAGCTCGAACAAAAGCGGCAGAATTTAGAAACGCGATTAACGCACTTCGAAAATTTAATTGAAGAAGGAAGTTTAAGTGTAAATGAACTAAGAAAGCGTTACGAACGTCTTACCAAACAAGTAGATGATTATGAATCATTGCATGAAAAGTGTGGTAATAACAGCGCCGGAGAGACAAGAGTCGACGATCTAGACCAACTCATAGAAAGATACCACGTGATCGGAGACAAAATTCATTCAAACGATACCGCCGCAGTTAACAACCCGAATAACTCTAACGAAAACAACGATATCACGAAAACTCGCGATCAACAAATACAATTACGGCGTCTTGAGATCCCGCGATTCGACGGGAATATAGGGAAATAGATCCCATTTAAATCTAGCTTTTTATCGGTACATATTAACAGCGGATATCGAGAAAATGTATCGGCAAATATGGATTCATCCAGACGATCGCCAATATTAACGGATATTTTGGTGGCATAACGAACAGATTCGCACGTTCGAACTTAATACGGTGACATTCGGAATAGCGTCAGCACCGTTTCTTGCCATACGAACCATCAAACAACTCGCGAAGGATGAAGGTGCTAATTATCCACTCGGAGCCGAAATACTTAACCGCGATCTATACGTGGACGACCTCATTACGGGAACTGATAATGTCGAAACCCTCGGAAAGATACGCGATCAAACTATTGAAATATTGAAACGAGGCGGTTTTAATATACGACAGTGGGCGTCTAACTTCCGACCGGTGCTCGAAAATTTAGACATAAAAAACATCGACGTCGAGCTCTGCTCTGGGGAAAATCCTATTTTAAAGACACTCGGTATTTCATGGAACGCACATCATGATTGTTTAATCTACTTCGTCACGCCAGTAGATATTCACGAAAGAATTATCAAACGACGAATTTTATCCGAAGTCGCAAAGATCTTTGATCCACTCGGACTCCTAGGACCCGTCATTCTAAACGCCAAAATCTTCATCCAAGACTGCTGGAAAACACACGTCGACTGGGATGAATCGGTACCCAGTACGTTACGTACCTCGAAGATAACGTTCGCAGAACAATTGACATTAATTGACAGTTTAACGATAGAAAGATGCATTACACTCGACAACCTGATTGACGTGCAAGTGCATGGTTTTTGCGACGCGAGTCAATCTGGTTACGGCGGCTACTTATATGTAAGATCGCGAGATAAATTCGGTAACACATATGTACGTCTACCTTGCGCGAAAAGTCGTGTGGCTCCCCTTAAGGATACCACTATACCACGTTTAGAGTTATGCTGAGCATTAACACTCGCGCAGTTATACAGAGAAGTCCGGACTGCCGGCGGATTGAAACCCGACAAGATAACTTTTTGGTTCGATTCGATAATTGTACTGGGTTGGCTGAAAAGAAACTTCAATACGTTAAAATTATACACGGTGAATCGCGTGCGCGAAATACATGAAATCTGTGAAAATATCATATGGCGACATGTGCGATCCGAGGACAACTCAGCGGACGCTTTATCTAGGGGACAACTTCCGCGCGATTTTTTGAGGAACGAGGCATGGTTCCATGCACCACCCTGGCTCGCGCAACCAGAGACTGAGTGGCCCAACCCGACGGAAAGGGAAATTCTCGAATTACCGGACGTGAAAGGATTGTCGGTATTAACGACGCGAATTGAATCCGGAAATATATTTCAGCGATTCTACAGTTACGCGCGATTATTAAAAATTGTAGCTCGATGCCGACGATGGCTTAAAACTAACTCGTATAAGGGAGAATTGTCTACGGCGGAAATAACAGAAACGGAACGACACGTTTTAAAGATCGTGCAAGGCAAACAATTTATGCATTCGCATAATTGCATTATAATTCGCATTTATGCATATCGCATCACGAGTTCATTGCAATACCTAACCCTCCTTTGGAGAGAAGCAGCCCAAGCCTCCTGAGCGATCTTTGGAAGAACCTGCCACTGTACAACAATCTGTAAGTTATCAAATTCTTTATTTTCATTAAACTGTTGTTAATCAGAGCTGCGGTCATCAATACTTCTCCCGTCGATAAAACCTTCCTCAATCCACCCCTTTTACCGTACGCGTTTCACCACAGTTTACCACTGTTTAAACAAGAAAACGAACCAGCCTGGACCCGGTTAAAATCGGTGAACGCAGAGTGACCACAAACAGGCGTACTTTATACTACTTATTTAAATTCGTCCTCTAGGACGTAACACTTATATTCAGTTATTTTTTCATATATTAAATTTCATTTGAAGAAAACCATAACTTAAGTTTATGGAACCAAATATCATAGAATATGTCAAGTCTTAGGTATAAGATATCGTCTATTTTAAAGATTCCACTCAAGGATGAAGAAAATTTATGATTGCCATAAATTTTCTAACCATTTCAATGACCATCGAATCATATTGGGCAACTAAAAGCATACCAGTGTTGGGTCCTTCGAGTGATATACAATACTTAAGTGAACATGAGACAATGCACATGAGAAGGGTACTATTTAGAAAAGAAATTCCTTATGTTCCTAGAAACCCCCACTACTATCCTTCCCAAAAAACATAAACTTTCCCATCGGGTCACTCTGGTGGGTGGACCCTCCTATTATTGGTTAATAAGTTGCATTCAGTTCCTTCCTTCTCCAAAGGGGTGTAACTATTTCAGATATAAAAACATGTGCAATCAAGTAAGATCGTTCGTCTCTGTTCGTAATACATCCTCTTCTTCATATACATACACTCTGTCCGTCAAAGTCTCTTATACACTTTGCTTATTATACATTTTTGTGTCATACACTTTACATCTATACAGTCCACATCGAACAATTGTAACATAATCGCCAAAGACTTAAGTTAATAAAGCATTGTTGACTGAAGAAGTGACTTTAGTAATACTACAAAACCACTCACACTGTATTAGTTTACCGTCGTGAGACTTTCGTGCAACTCGCGTATAATTGCATCTTCAAAAACGGTACGCTAGTTGAAATCGGATTCGCGTCAGCATAGCATATAGTGCGCGCGAACATAATTTTGGTCCTTCGAGCCGGATATATCAGTCGAACTTATCGGTTGGATATATTTACTACATACGCAAGTGCGCGATCATATAGAGTGAAGTCAAGAGTTAACATGAAGCAAAGCTACGGACAGTCGAACCTTCTAATAGGTGATCTACCACAACAAGGACATTGGCAACATGGACTACACCTCTTCATACAAAATCATCATTCGTAAATCAATCAAGGTAAGCTCGTTATATCAAAGAATTACCAAGTCCTTCCATTACCAATCCTATTTTACTTACCTACATTTAGTCAAAAAACCAGATGGTACAAGCATGAGACCATTAAGTCTAACGCAGTGTCTATGTAAACTCTTTGAAACGTTAATAAAAAATCGATTGCAATGGTGAGTTGAGCAAGAAAAAAAAATTCTTCTAAAAAGCCAAATCGGATTTAGAAAAGGGCAATCAACATCAGATAATCTATTAAGTCTAGCCCTTCAGGTAGAAAAATCATTTATTAACAAAAAGGATACTCTAGCTGGTTTTCTTGATGTCAGTGGAGCATTTGACAATGTTAACATTGAAATTCTATTACTTAAACTCACACAAATAGGCTGTCCGCAAGAATTGACTAAATTTATAAAATTTATTACACTCGAAAGATCTATATACACTGATAAAACAGGTAATGAAGCTAGAAAAGTTTATAAAGGAGTGCCTCAAGGTGGTGTGCTTTGTCCCCTACTATACTGTATATATGTTTCTAACATTATTGATAGGATTCCTAAAAGAGTAAAGATATCACAATTTCCAGATAACATTGCTCTTTACTGCAATAGAGGTTTTTTTGAAACATGTAAAAGACTGCTTGAAAAAGCGTTAAAACAAATGTTCGAAGATCTTTGTGAATTAGGGCTCTCTTTAAACGAGTCAAAAACCATTTTTATACATTTTAATAATCGTTAATGTTACGCCTGGCGAAACTAAAATAAATATTAACAATACGATCATTAAATCTAGTAACCACGCACGATTTCTTGGAATTTTATTTGACTATAAATTAACATTTAAAGAACATGTAAATAAAGTCTTGAAAAAATGTACAAAAGCAATAAATATCATTACATTCTTACGAGGTATTAAATGGGGTGCAGATCCTGAAACTTTAATTATTATGTATAAAAGTTTTGTACGATCAATCATTGATTACGCTAGCTTTGTCTACTTTCCTATACAAAAAACTCAAATAGAAAAACTATAAAAATTACAATATATGGCTATAAGACTAGCTTTAGGATATAGAATCAGCACCCCAACTAATATTCTTATCTCCGAATCAAAATTAACTTTTATACAAGAACGTACTTTGTATTTATGCAATAGTTACTTGTACAAGATTGCCTCAAATACTAGTTTAAACATATATGAAAATGATTTTGATTTTAAAAAACAGATAGAATGTAAAGAACATTTGTTTGTAAATAATAAACGTATTTTTGTGAATTGCATAAAAAATATCAAGCAAG